TCCCACCCCCTTGTCCTACAGCCCCTGCTCGCAAGCAGAAAGGCGGAGCACGCTTACTTTCCCCTCGGCAAAGCCAGCCGGTCTCCCTCTTCCTTTCTCTCCCCACGTGCAAAGGAAAGGGCAACGTCATCTTTCTGCGCCAAGTGGCGGTGCCTGACTCTCTGGAAGGCACTCTAGCACCATCTAATGGGGAAAGGGAAGAATAGCAAGAGGACCTGAGGAGCGTGGCCGTGTTGGGTTGCGATCCCAGACGTGCTTTACCAGGGAGTAAGCATGCGGTGGCTCAAGTGGTTAAGACGCTGAACTGCAGGCTGTGGAAGGTCGGTAGTTCAGCAGTTCAAGACCCGGGTGCCGCAAGACAGGGTGAGCTCCTGTCTCTAGTTCCAGCTCCTGCCAACCTAGCAGTTCGAAAGCAAGAAATTGCAAGTAGATAAATAGGTACCACTTCGGTGGGAAGGTAACAGCGTTCCGTGCGCCTTGGTGTTTAGTCATGCCGGCCACATGACCACGGAAACGTCTTCAGACAGCGCTGGCTCTTCGGCTTTGAAACGGAGATGAGCACCGCAACCCTAGAGTCGGATTCGACTGGCTTTCGAGCAAGGGAACCTTTACCTTTTAAGCATGCATTATTGAAGGAACAAAGGGCTCTCTTCTGAGTCCATTCGCAGAAGGGTGCCTTGGTAAGTCTGTCGCAGTGAAAGAAGAGTCTGGTAGCAAAGGCTTACAGATTTATTATCAGAACAAAGTTTGGGTTCCGGTGGCACCTTTAAAACCCAAAAAGTTTTATTTTTTAAAAGTATTTTTATTAGTTTATACATAGAAAGGGGGAAAGGGAAAAGAAAGTATACATATTAAAAATCCAATTTAACATTCTGTGTGCAAATCTTCTTAGCTATTATAACCATCTTTCTTGTTATTCATTTAATCTTAATTTCTCAATACTTGTGTTTTAACCAGTCATAAAACGCCCCCCATGGTCCCATAAATTCTTCTTCCATTTCTCCTTTTAATATATTTGTCAATCTGTCAATTTCAGCACATTCCATAATCTTCCTTATAAACTCAGAAAGTGTTGGGATTTTTGATGTCCTCCGTGTCATTGCAAATAAAATTCTGGCTGCTGTTACAACATGTAAAATAAAGTATCTATGGTTCTTATCTAAGTCATCTGGTAAACAGTTTAACAGGAATATCTATGGTTTAAAAGGTATTGTAATGTTCAACACTGACTGTATGTATTCCAATCCAGTATTTATGAACCTTTTTACATGTCCAACCACAAAGTTTTATTCAGGTGCGTGTACACTTCTTCAGATACAGTTTATTATCATGGCCCAAGCTTCTCTGGGCTAGAGAAGGGTTGTGCTAAGTAACACCCTCCAACATCTCTGAGGCAAATAAGGACAGACGGACAAACAGATCCGGGGGGTATAACCGTGTTGGTCTGAAGCAGCAGAACACACGAAAGTTCATACCCAGAATAAAACTTTGGTCTTCAAGGTGCCACTGAACTCAGACGGACAAACAGACTGATGTCCTTCTTCTCATACCAGGAGCAGCTCTTCTGGATCTGATCTAGGCCAGCATCCCACAGTGGCCAGCCTGGTGTACTGGAAAGCCCACAAGGAGCAGACAGCCCCCTCCCCCCCTCCCCCCCTCGTTCATCCCTTGGCAACTGCAAGGAGCAGACAGCCCCCCTCCCCCCCCCCCCCATCGTGCATCCCTTGGCAACTGATGCATTACCTCTGAGGATGGAGGCTCCGCTTAGTCCTTATGGCTACTCGCCTCCAAGGGACTCATTCTTCTGTGCTTCAAGACCGAGTTGCAGTATTGTCGACTCTGACAGGCAGGAGGGGGTCTCTGCCAGAAAGACCTTCCCAAACAACTGTTCCCTGCCATTCTTCAGTGCTACAGAGACAGAACCTGGGACCTTCTGCATGAAAAGCTGCCACCAAGGCAAAATTGGCTTAAACCGAGTCAGACCACCAGTCCATTTAGCTGAACGTTGACTGGCAGCTATTCTCTGGGGTCTCAAACAGGCCTTTTCCCCAACACCCATGATCCTTTACGTGGAAGTGTTGGGGACTGAAACCAGGTCCTGCGTACAAGGCTGGTGTTCTGGGCTACCACAACATAAGGGTCATTACCACAGGAGTCTCCCTATGAGCTAGACCAGGGGTGTCAAACTCATTTGTTAAGAGGGCCGGATCTGACAAAATGAGACCTTGTTGGGCCGGGCCACGTGTGTCATAAAATGTGATGCCAGGTGGCGGAGATATAAACTTTATAAAGGACACAGACACAAAGGGTTTTTTTTAACTTAAAATAAAAACATGCTTAAAACATTAGCACTCTTGCAATATTTTGTTTATTTAATAGTGTCTGATAACTGACACCCCTTGCTCTGAATTATAGCATCAAAATGTCGGTGCTGTCGCAATCTTGAGTATGCTGTTCAGGTGTGTATCTGTAAGCAAACCTACGATGATGCAGGAGCAGCAGAACTGGAAGAAGAAGCAGAAGACAGCCAGTTCCACTGCGTGCCTGATAGAAGCCCTGGGGGTGTGTGGCTTGATCTGGCCCCCGGGCCGCATGTTTGACATTCCTGAACTAGACCATTGATCTATCTAGCACGGTTTCATCTACGCTGATTGGAAGCAGCTCTCCGACAGCCAAATGCCATTCCTAACTCCTTTGACCAAGGCCGTGAGCATTGAATCAGGACCTTCTGCTTGTAAACCACCTCCCTGTGAAGTCTGGTCTAATGAATCTTGGAAGCATTCTTACACCTTGTTGCACCTAGCAGAGAATTACCTCCTCTGGCTGACAGTTGTCCTCCTAGATCTCAGACAAAGAAAGCACTGCTCTTTTGAGATCCGTTTAACTGGAAGGGCTGGGAATTGAACCTGTTGACCTTTAGCATGCCAAGCACATGCTCTAACACTGGGCTATGGACCTTCCCTAATAGGAACGTCTATAGCTGCCTTTTCTCAAATTTAGAGTCCCATGGCACCTTTAAGACCAACAGTGGTTTATTTAAGGTATGAGCTTTCACGTGCATGCAGAGTTTATCAAATACATTGGAATGGAAGTCAAGGTTCAGACTTTCTAGTGTAGCCTAAGGTCCATTCAAATGTATCTGATAAGCTGTGTGCGCACTGATCTCATACCTTGACTAAACCTTTGTTGGTCTTAAAGGTGCCACGGGACTCTCAGTTCGTCGTACTGCTTCAGACCAACACGGCTGACCACCTGGATCTGCCTTTAAGCCAAGTCCATGTAACCCAGTTCTGTCTGCTTGCCTGGCAGTGGCTCTCCAAGACCTCCCTGGTCCTGCTACTGGACGTGCCAGGGACTGAGCCTGGGGCTCTCTGGCATGCAACGCTGGTGATCTTCAATCCTTCTAGCCCACACAGCTGATTTAAAACCCAGTGAAACCAGACGTCCAGTGGAGTCAGTCTTGAGTCAGGGATCGTGTGTCCTGGCACCAGGGTATGGGGCCTCCCTCCCTATATTTATTTATACATTCGATTTATTGAGCCAATTTATTGACCCTATATTTATTTATTTATACATTCGATTTATAAGCCAATTGTACACGGAGGCAGATCTATGGCCTATCGTGTTGCATACAATGTACACACACTCCCATAGTCTAAGGAGCAAATGGGAGGGGCGATCAGGAGGAGAACCCAGGGAGGGATAGCAGCAAGGAGAGTGGGACGAGGACGCAGCAGTCACTGTTGGAGGAGCTGCCTTGAAGGAAAGGAAGAGATCAGGTCTCGTGCATGCTAGAAACAGGGTGGCTGGGGCCAGCACGCCTCTTCCGCAACACTACTGCAAAAGAAGTATGGAGAGCAGAGTGCAGGGAGGTAGATCAGGATGACTGGGAGCCAGTTTGGTGTAGTGGGTAAGAGCGGTGGAATCTCATCTGGAGAACCGGGTTTGATTCCCCACTTCTCCACTCGCAGTCAGCTGGGTGACATTGGGTCAGTCACAAGTTCTCGCAGAGCTCTCTCAGCCCCATCTACCTCACTGCCAATGCTCCCTCTAAGCTGTGGAGTCTTGTGGGCAAAAATTCTACTTTGTGAGCGACTGGCATTAAAGTTGTGAGCAAGCGATTTGGCTCTGGCATAAACTAGTTTGCTCTGGAGCCATCCCTTCCTGAATTTACTGTGCGTTGCTTGAAGGGGGGGGCTCTTGCTTAACTGTGCTAAAGTGCTCACCAGGCCAGGCTGTCTTGATCTCTAATAGGAGGAGGGGAAATAATTTACCTCTCCCACCCACCCCTCAAAATTCCGGATGCCTCTCTCCCATCTTTCACTCCCCCACCCCAACTCAACGCCCTTTCCCTCCTCCTCCTCTGGCCTCCAGAGTATCTGTCACCCCCTCCTCCGCAGCAAGGGCCGCAGGAGGCAGCCGCCCCACCCCCCCACAGGGGGCAAAGGAGAACGGTCCTCCTTTCTGCTCCAGCCGTGCAGGACCCGCTTTAAGGGGGAGGGACCCAAACTCTGTACAACACTCCACATTTCCCATACTTCCTCTCTATCCCCTTCCCCAACAGTCCCCCTTCTCTCAGCTGCTGCGCCCCCCCCCCCCAAGACACTCTCAGGTGGCCTGGCTCCTCCCAGCTCCAAAAGCTCTTTTGTGGGCAGGTGCAGCGAGTTCGAGATTTAGAGCCTGTTTGCTCTCACCTGCATTTACGACGGATCTTTCTGCCACCTGTTCACCGAGTTAGAAACACTCTGCTCGAGATCCTGGGGATCTCCCAGTGTCCCATTCTAATCTGCAATGCTCCCTCTAAGCCGTGGAGTCCTGTGAGCAAGAATTCTACTCTCTGAGCTACCGGCATTACAGTTGTGAGCGAGTGATTTGGCGACTGCACAAATCAGTTTGCTCTGGAGCCGTCCTTCCTGAGCTAAGGCAGAAATCTGTGAGTCAGAGGCTAAAAAACTGTGAGCTAACTCACACTAACTCAGCTCAGAGGGAACACTATCTGCAGACACCCAAATATAGCTCAGAACAAATGGCAGCAAACAATTAAAATTTAAAAAAGAAAATGGGAGGTGCTAAATCCAGTTGGAGGCCCTGACCAG